TATCGGTAACAATGCTTAACAATCAAACTTTTTATATATTTTCCAACTATTTCATTCCTTGTATTGTTATAAATATACTCTAAGAATCATTTTTTTGTATTTGATTATTTAAATGAAATGTAAAAATTACATTGTTGAGGGAAGAAAGAAACCAAACTATTACATTAATCTTTTCAATATTGATTTCTTAGTGAACTGAAATTTATAAAAAAAATAATTACACTTTTTGTAAGAACCTATATAAGAATTTATAGCAAAAAAATAGATAAAATATTCAGAAACTAGCACACATAATTTTTTTAAATAACTTTTTTTAATTTACTCTTGTGCAAAAGATACTAATATCTCGAAGGAATAAGGCTATTGTCACTAACTCTATATATGAAACATTTTTATTTATATTAAACATTTTTATCGATAGCTTAATTTTCGTTTGCATTTAGAGAACATCTTGTACCACGAAACACTTAAAAAATGGTTATATTTAGTTTAGTTAAGCAAATAATTAAAAAAATACAGAAGTAACTTCAAATGTTATCAAAACCAGTTTACTCGGCAGGGTAGAGAACAAAAGTTTTATAGCAATTTAAATGATCTGGTTTACTAATGCATCCGAATACCAAACGCTCTTAAGGATTAAAAAGCGAAGTCTATCAGCATAGGTTTAATCAGTTTCCATCCATTATATTGTAGAAAAAATGTCGTATCACTTTTTAAATGTATTATATGTCTTTTTGCTTTGCCTTATTAGTTAGTTCAAATGTAAAAATTTATTTTTTTGTCAACAAAACCAAACTTTTTGATGAAAATATTGAAATTTTAAACGTTATAAATGCAAAGAGCAGTTAGAAATTTTCCTCTTGTGAAAAATACTATTACAAATTGTATTTAAAATTTAATTTTTCTAGTTTTTAAAAATTTGATATCATTTTTGAAATTTTACGTAACAAAATTGAGATTTCTGGATCCAAAAGTGATTTTGTTAAAATCCCACAAGCCTTTTTGCAGTTTTAACTTTAAACTAATTTAACTATTCCTGATTGCCGAAAATTATGTTAAATCAAGCAACCAGAGTCTTAGCGGAAAATTCTTCGATTCACGTAGAAGATAAAACTTTTAATGATTTATACTCCTACATTATTGTTTTAACGTTAAATCTTGGTAAATTTATCGCGATAATTTTATATTCATTAGCAATATGAAAATTGTATTTAAAAATATTAAATGAAAGTTTTTTCTTGCGATTTTGCTTAATAGTATGTGTTTCCTTTCAGCTTATAAAAACATTGAATTTTAAATTTTTCGATAGATTTTACTATTTTATTTTGAATATTACAAGTAAAATCCTTATTTCTTGAAATTCTTAAGAAATAAGGATTAAATATGGATGGTTCAGATTTTCTTGAATTACAAAGTGTTTGTGACACCGGCTCTCGTGTATGATTGTTTAGAAAAAACACAAATTTAATTTTTTTAGGTGTTGTGCCCAATACACAATATTCATTAGTGATGAAAAGGATATCATTTGCTTCATTAAATATTCTATTAATTTTAATTAGTGCTTTAAGAATAGGTTTATTAAATTTGTTTATAACCTGCTAAGAGACACCAAATCTCGTCGAAAATAAAAAATTTTAAAAATTTTAATTGTTTTCTGCCGGAAAATCTGTAAATTTGCTTAATGTTTAATAATAGGCTTATCTTTGGTTAAAATCACAGTAAATTTACTACACAAAATAGTAAGAATTTTTAAAAAAAATTACATAGCTCCTAAGTACTAATGTTAATCGTGAATTTAAATAAGTAAAAATAAGTCATTCAAAAAATGGGTCATATTGGCAATCAAAGTCATATTGGCAGCTTCAAAATTTATTTTAATATAGTAACTGATTATAAAGACATTGATAAAATACAAATATTGCTTATTACATTCAAAAAGGGAGGTAATATTTAATATTCTTTAGATATTAAAATAAAACAGTTTTTGAAACGAACTTAGTTAAGAACTCAATGAAATAAAATCATTAAACAATGTTATTGAAAATATTTTAAGAATAAACTAATAAATGTATCGCGAATACTAAGCAGTCATTAGAACTCCTTATACAATAGTATAAATTAAAGCTTATTTTCTCATAATTACGATGGAAATAAAATTGAACCTTTGATTCTTCACAATTTTTACCCACTTCAGCTTCTTAGACAAAGCGCGAAGTTAACGGAACCAGTTGAAAACCCATTTATAGCTGTGAGGAAAATTAGTTAGGAAAGCTCACGTGCTAATTTAGGAATTGGGGCAGCATTTTATATAGTATTTTCCATCGTTAATCTTTCAGTGTCAGAACTACCGGTGGCCTGTTTATAGATGGCCCGGTCCCTTCTAAAGCTATTTGTTCTGCAACTTTTGAAAGCAAATATTTTCTTCACTCGAACAATAACATAAACATTTAAGTTCTGAATTCCACTCTCGCTCCCTCTTTTCATTCTTTTTTTGATTTTGTCAGAAGGGAAAGATGCATTTCAGTTCGCCACGTTTTGATATCCAATTGTCACTCACAAAAAAAAATTGTCAAAGTTATCTATTACTCCCATTGTACAACCAATACATTTTCACGTTAAAATCATTGCAATCTCGTATCTTTAGACTTCGTTAAATTTTATTCGTTTTCGACATAAAAAATTGTATAATTAAGCACATTTTTTTTCTAAACTGTTTCTAAAAAATAAAGCAAATATTTTAAGTTAAGTTAAATTTTTAATATTCGAAAGAAATTCCGATAAAAAAATTAAAAAATAATGATTTTTTCCAACTTCCCATTCGGTAAAATTAGGGCACTTAGAAAGTTCGTAAATTGCTTAAAACTTCAATAATTATACTTATTGTACTGTTGCTTAATAAAATACAAATTAGACTTTAAATTACAGTCTTTATTTTAAAGAAAATTCAATTGATATCCTCTATCAGTTTTAATATTTTCAACTTATCCAAAAATTAAGTCCTTGAAAAGCAATAATTAATGAATCTATTATTTATAACAATACAATTATAGTATATCATATAATTGTATTAAAAATGTAGAAAGTATTGAAAGTTCCTGTAAAACGTCAAATAAAACATTATACAATGACAAAACGTCAAAAAACGTACTTTAACTGAATAAACATATATTAATTTTTACTTATTTGGAATCCTGACCCTGGACCTTCGAAAAATTTAGGTCGTAAATAGGGTCGCAATAAAGATTTATATTTGGTGATAGTCCATGAAAATGGCCAAGTAAAGTCGCCATAGCAAATGAATATTTTAAGATAACCCTCTCCTGACCAAACTATGGGGACCATGTTTTCCAGATTGCGGCTTTTGAAGGTTAAAATTCCAAATATGTGGAAAAAATATATGTTTATTCAGAGAAAGTACGTTTTTGTGTCCAATTTCGTAACTTAATTAAAAGTTTGCTCCAAATAATTTGCAGATTCAAGGTCACCCCAAGAACCATTAAGATTGACACTTAGTACGTGAAAATCCAATCATTAAAACGAAAGTTATTCAGGGTGATATTTTTTTTTCGGCTTATTGAACATAAGAAAATTACTTGATAGTACAATAGAATAATGCCAAGTGATGCTAAATACATTTTATATTTATTATAATGTGATGATCCACAAGAAACGACTTTTGCTTACTTCAATAAAATAAAGTCACCAAAAAGAGCTGCAAGTAATATTAAATTAAAAAAACATTGAAATTATATCAGCTATACTAATTGAAAAACTTACTGGAAGATCCAGGTAAGGGGCATCTTCAGAACGAAAAAAAAGTTTCATCTAAACTATTTTATTACCTCGTTTATTAAAAGATGAGACTAATAATTCTTGGTTTCATTTTATTTACTACTGAATGATTTGAAATAAAAATCATGCAAATATACAAAAAACTGATGTGATTAGTTATGTTAAGATTTAAGTGAAGGCAAAAACAGTTCTGTTATATTAAACAGACCCATATTGATGCAACCACTTTTTGTTATTTTCTCTGATTCATTAATTCCCCTTAAAATGTCATTTAACTGGTTCATCCAGTAAGCTCTTTAATTGTGTCAGTATATCCCTTTCAGTTTTACGCATGATTTCGTAGTGTTTCTCAGAACTGGTTTTTTGATTCTTTACTTAATTTTTATTCGCTCCGAGCGAAGAACGGGTATTCAGCTAGTATAATGTAATGTGATGTGTTTAATTTAATGTGTATAATGTAATGTAATGTGCATAATTTAATGTAATGTAATGTGATGCGTACAATGTGCATGATGTAATGTAATGTGTACAATGTAATGTAATGTGACGTGATGTGTATAATGTGCATGATGTAATGTAATGTGTATAATGTGCATGATGTAATGTAATGTGCATAATGTAATGCATATATTATAATGTGTATAATATAATGTATATAATGTAATTTAATATATAATATCATATAAAGGGCCAAAAAGAAAAAAATGGGACAGGAAAATTTTGAGAAAGGAAACATAAGCTGAGAAATTCAGTCGTAATTTGTTTTTTTATAAGTGATGACCCAATTTTTTAAATGCCTATTAACGAATTAAGAAGAAAACATTTTAAACTATGCATTGAATAACCTTACTTTTTTGCAAGAAAATTTTTTTGTTCTTGTGATTCAACACTTCTGTGATTCAACTTCTTGTGATTCAACACTTATTTTATGACTTAGGAAAAATATTCTGATAACATTTTGTTACGTAAAGTATTTCGAGTGTTATAAGACACTTAAACTCAAAAAAGTATAAAATGAAACATTTAACAAACATTAATAAAAGCAAATATCAGATATTTTTTAGTTCAGATGAAACATATCGAAACTAATAGTCAAAGTTTAGATTTTGTGTTCTTTTTGTACCTAAAATTTTCCTATAATAATTATAAATTTGTTGTAAGTATCGTAAAGTAAATCAATTCCCTTTTCTTATTTTTTCAAATGCCAGTGGTGGAAGTAAACGAAAACTCTCTGTGGGCCTGGCCCTGATTGGGTCACCTCCACTGATTTTGCTGGATGAACCAACAGCTGGCGTTGATCCAGTGTCAAGAAGAAAAATCTGGAACATATTGGCTCAAGCAAGGAATCATTCAAAAGCAGCCGTTATATTGACAACACACAGGTACGACATCGATGCATATTTTAGTTTTAACATATTGCAATTTTATTTCACTTTAAGCAGTTTATAGGAACGTTCTATATAACACAATATGAAGACTAAACTATATCACCTTTGCATTTAACATCTAAATTTTGAAAATATTGACTATCAAGATTATAATATATTTCTTTGTTTCGTCACGTTTTGCTTTTGTTCCTCTGGTAGGAAAAAAAATGTGCGAGAAAATCAAATGGAATTTGTTTCTGATGGATTTATCCTGCCTTGAGAAAAAATGTTTACTGTTTTGCAGTGAAGTAAACACATCCGGGCATTACTTGCCCACTCGTATAACGATTCTTCTTTTTCAAGTACCAGGATGAGCTTACAAAATACCATAAGTGTCTTTCGTTATCTCTTACAGATTGATGAAATTTAATCCTTAATCTTGATGAGGCGTTCTAAAATTTTGACCACTCTCCTGGCTATTGGGGCCATATTTCTCACATTGCGACCTCCCCCCTTCATTGAGGGTCAGAAATCCTAATTCGCTGAAAAAAGGCTGAGAAATATGTGTCCGATTTTTGCAAGTTAAGATATCGTGTACTCTAATTAATTAATATATTTAATCCTTTGCTTACCGGCTGGTACAACTCATGATCCAGAATGTCAGCTGCTATCATGCGCCGTAGGGAAAAGGTTAAGGTGCGACTTTCGAACCATTAACATTCAGTCTTTAAGACCTTCAGAACGTGAAGGAGAAGGAAGCGTTTTCTCAGCCCCAGACGCTCCAAATTTATACGTACTAAAGAATAGTTTTTCGTACTAGGAAGTAAGTATAGGTACTATTAAGAAAAGTTATACGAGAATATAGTACGAAATCAGAAAGGCTCGTTTCATATATGATGCCGTTTGCCGTAAAGGGAGAATCACGTGATCACGTACCACGGCTATGAGTGGGTTAATTAAGCATTATTAATGTGCGTCATCAGACCAAATATATATAGTAATTATCATAAATAACATTTAAGAAGTTATGAGATTTTATCGAATTCATTAGTTTAACTATTTTACTTATTTCATTTGATAATAGAATTTTATATATTTTTTTAAATTATTAATTCAGGAAGTAATTTTATCGTAAAGTTTTAGTTTTATCTTGTAAAATGTTATATTTTGTTTCGATTTTCATAGCATGGAAGAAAGTGAAGCTCTATGTAGTAGGTTGGCCATAATGGTAAATGGAAGATTCAGATGCCTAGGTTCGATTCAACAACTGAAATCAAAATTTGGGCAAGGTTATACTTTAATTATTAAACTGCAAAAAGAAGCTTCAGATAATACACAAAGTATTGATTTAATTAAATCACTTATAGTGAGTAAACTACCAGGAGCTGAATTGAAAGATGATCACCAAGTAAGTAGTCTCAGTATCACTAAAAGTATTATTTTTTTTTTATCAAAGTTTGCAAAATAATAATAATATACAAAAAAAAAAGAAAACAACATTTAAACCATAAGTAAAGTATTATTAATAGAATAATGGTAATATAAATGGGTTTTTTTCGCAAAAGCACTGATAATAAGTGTGAAAATAAAGTTCTTTAAATATCACACAGTGACAATGATCATTTCAAAAATTCTACATTTCGAAATGCTTATGTGATTAGCTTATGATCGATATTAGCTGCTCTACTTAAACGTTGTGATAACATCGTAACTTAAAATTAAATTAGGCTAATAAGTACTAAATTAATAACTTCCAAAAGCTGAAATTAGCGTTATTCTTTCTTAATTAATAGTTATTAACATTTCAATTTAATTTTTTTAAGTGTACCAATCAAAACCTCTTCTTAAATTTTTCTAAAGTGGTGTTTAAAACTTCTTCGCATAAAGTGAACCCATTAAATTTTCTTTTGTAAAAAATGTTAGTAACCATTGAATCCAACAAACTAAATGGTTTCTAAAGCACAAAGTGAAATTGTAGGAAGCAATATTCTATATACCTAAATAGCAATGAAAGCGTAGTAACTAGGTAAAAATATAAAATTGTACTTTTTGTACATAAATTTCTTATATCTTCTGAACTATTGGTTCTGTCACCTTAAGCTTGAGCTCTTACGATTCGGAGTTGAAAATTACACCGGAAAAACATTTGAATTGTTTAGCTAGCAATATTTAAGTTTCTTTTCATCCTTAAACAACTTTACTCATTCGCGGTTCTTATGTATCCATAATTGTTTTTCCCCTCTTTTTTGCGTGCATTTAGAAAAATTGACACCACTGACAAATATTTTAAACACAAAGTTACATAAAATGTAGTGATTACTTAAGTTAGATAGTTTTCCAGATAATTAAGATAGTTAATGATTTAGTTTGATTCTGTATCAATGTAGTCCAATCAGTCATAGTATTGATATAAACCAGCTTATTTTGAAATTCAGTTTGTTTACTCATAATTCTATTATTATATTACAGGGAATGCTGCAATATCATATCATAAATCCAAGTCTGAGATTAAGTCAGCTTTTCAAGATTATGGAAGAAATGAAAGCACAGTTTGATTTAGAAGATTATTTGATCAGTGATACATCATTGGAGCAAATATTTTTGACTTTTGCTCGAGCACAGAGAGTTACACAATAATATTACTAAATTGGTAACTAACTTACCAAATATTTTCTACCTCAATAAGCTTTTAATAAAAAGCAAAGTATAAAGATTCATTGAAATTCACTTGCACTATTGCTTCAAACATTGGTACTCCTTCGTTACTTTTTTTAATAATCCTTTGTACAAAGCAGTTAATTTTGAATCATTGATTAAAATAATTTATATTTCATTTATTCCATTGCAAGCTTTGTAATGCTCTTCTCGATTCCAGTGGCTCTGCGACATTATAGTCTTTCTGCACGGATAACATGTTTTCCTTTAAGTAAAAGTAGAAGCCATGATGGTAAAACTAAACCCTAGAAATAATAAAAATATGAAAAAAATAAGGAGAATTGTAACTTTTATCAAACCAATGGAAAATCTTCGCCAACTTACAAAATGTTTATTTATCACTTACACAAAATGATCAATTGTTTGTAGAAATGAAGTAAAACGAGCGTTCTCTTAATTTATTTAGAAGACAGTTGAATTAAAGCAGCTGTTATTTACATTCCGAAAAAAAAGTGTGTGCGCGTGGATAAAAGAATAGATAAAAAGGAAAATACGTAGGAGTCTACTTCGGTTAACAGAGGCATTCGAATAAAAGAAGTTAGAATAACTGAAGTTCAGTATATTTTAATGCTTGGCGTTGATTTTTGAAATTAATTATTATGTTTTTATGTCAGAGTAAAGATTTTCTCTCTATTTCTTTATCAAAATGTTATTAATATGTTATTAAAATGTTATTAATTTACACAAATGTTATTCCAAAAGGTTTCTTTCCCTTTGTTATACCATTACTGTGTTATATCATTATCTTGTTTAAATGCAAATATCTGTTTAAACACTAAAATTCCTCTATTATTGATACACAAGATATTAAGTATTTAATACACTAAAATGTATTTTATTTAATCGGTTTTGTCAAAACGGAAGTAAAAAAAGTAGGGTAAAAGTTCTTAATATGAAATACACTATTTAAAATTACAGTTCGACCATAATAATTATTACTATATTATGTCTAATGTACATTTAATCAATGTAAATCATTTGGGATAGGTAAAATGAGTAAAACTTTAAAGCTCCATGTCCTCAAAAATGCAAAAAATAAAATATTTTTAAAAAATCTGCAAAATATATAAAAGGTATCTTAATATATGAAATAGTGTCAAGATTAACAAAAATATCTTAAGTTTAAAAATTCTAATTGTACAAAAAAAAAAGTAAAATATTCGTGTCAACTTTCTCGCAACGTTTCTTTTATTTGCATTTCAATTATGAAGTTCGAGCGCACAAAATTGTCTTCTCTGATCCCATCTACTGAACTAACAAGTTCATTCGATTTACGTTAATACTGTTTGCTCCAATCGTCTACCTAGAACCGCAAAAAGAAAATTTGTATAAAGTCTCTTATATTTTGTGGCCTAACTGAACATAAAGAAAACCAATAAGAACCAAATGCGTATATTAAGAAAGTCTATGCCCAAAAATGTATTTATGAGGAGTAACTCAGTTCCTGTACGACATTTTCAGGAAAAAACAATCGAATAAATTAAAAAAGGAGGGGGGAAAGTCTCACACCGGCATAAATCCACTACTGTTAATAGTCAATATATGAAGATCATACTTAAATGTGACCTGAAAGATATGTTATGTATCATTTGCATAGAGGACATTAACATCCGTATAATCCCAGATTTCAATGACGGCATCTTTAATTCAGTCACAGACTAAAACTGTTCCGTTTTAGCGTAACGTAACGGATGATGCTTCGCCCTAACGTAATAGATAACAGCTGGATAATGCCCCGATTTCAACGCAAATCGATGTATTATGCAGCTGGAAAATCAGACATGTGATCTATTATCACTACAAATGGTAATAAAGGGTTTCTAGCATATATTGCTAATTGATAGCCTCCATGCGGGGAGTAGTTAAGTTTACCATCATGGGTGAACCCTTTTCACACAAAGCCTCCACTTTGCCCTTCATAAGATAAGAGTTTTTCTTTTTTCTCATTTTTTTTTCAAATTTATATGTGGTACTAGCGAGTTGCAACGCAGAAGAATTTACCATCGCCTTGAGTTTATAAGCTTATCCAATTAAATAGGAGAGTTGGAATAAGAATTTGAATAGCCCAAATAGTCTTATGTGCTATTGCAATAATGCTAGAAACGAAAAGGCTTTCTTCTCTGATACACTGTAAGGTGGATGCGCATTAATTGTGTGTGATGGAAGCAGTTATAGTGGCAAACTTAACCTAGTTTCTCTCAAAAGACGCTTAGAGGTTACCGATTAGCAAAAGATTCTAGAAACTCAATTATAGTCATTTGTAGAGAGAAATGGTATCGGAAGTGAGGACAATGCCTCACTTTAAATTGAAAAATATTAATTTTTGAATACAACCCCAAATCCGAAAATTTGTTTTCTAATTGTTTCGCTACATAATTTACATATTTGCTACATAATTTACATTTCGCTACATAATTTACATTTATTTACGACCTTGCTTTCATATTTCAGATCATATGAAAACAAGGTCGATATATTGGCTGTTAACAGTAGTGACTTTATTTCGTTGGGACATTTCCCCCCTTTTTCTTAAGTATTCGTTACCTTTCCCTGACCAAATGGGGCAGGAACTAAGTTAAACTTTTTTAAGTATATTTTTTGGATATAAACGTTCTTAATAATGCATGTTTCGTCCTCATTGGGTTTTCTTTGCGTCTCGCTATGGTACAAATTAAAAGTAGCTTTATTTCTTGGGACGCGTTGTATTAAACAACGTGTGGCATCGTTAAGAACTAAACTTGGTTAGATATTAACCAAGGTTAAAAACTAACCTTGTTGTATACACAATGTCAGTTCATTAGCTCAAAATTAAAGTTAAATTTAATTTGGCAAAACTTATTTATCGACAATTTTATTTTTAAAAAAATGAATATATAAAACAAAACAGAACGTTCACTCTTATTTATCGAAAAATAAAACATTTTACCAAGGAAAAAAACTTGACAGAGGCAACTTTTAAACACTATCCATGCTCGCATTAAAGCCGTAAAAAGGCTTCTTTCTTCTCATTGTCGTCTTCAACCTACAAGCGCTTGTTATTTATTTTATTTTTTATGATTACTTTTAATTTTTTGGCTAAAATGAGATTGTTGAATATTTGAAAACTATTTCATAATACGCACCTTTTCTATGAACACATTCAATATTAAAGTTAGAGGAAAAAAACGAAAATGCAACCGAAATGTAAAGAAAACAAGCCTTTAAAACTCACTTGTTTCCAAGAAAAAACATAGAGGAGATGAAAAAAACAATTATTAAATTTAAAGTTAATATTTTACTAAATTAAATTCTTAAATTTCATCTACAAATTCAAATGATTTACACAATTTTTATCTATCCTTCATCAATAGTGGTTCATCAGAATTGAAAAGAAAATTCTCACTTAATGAAATTGTAATTGCATTTGTTTGAGTGTGAATTCTAATATTTATACTTTGTCTTTCACGAAAAATATTAAGTTGTTTCTCAGTTTAAAATATCAATTGTAAATATTGAAAGTGCTATATTTTTAAATAACTTTCGATAAAAGAAAAATGCCTAATGTTATAAATATTCTTTAATTCAACAACTTTTTGTAATACTTTATAATGTTATATTGTTTTGTTATAATGTTATAATTTAACGATTTTTTATTATTATTTATTTATTCCTTTATTCTATAAGCTATGTTTATTCTTTCTGTTCCATTATTTGTATACTAACATTTTTTTCGTTCTGAATGCTTCAGAAAATATTAAAAATCATTTTGTTATATATTCTATAAGCTATATTTATTCTATAAGCTATATTAATTCTTTCTGTTCCATTATTTGTATACTCAAATATTCTTTCATTCTGAATGCTTCAGAAAATATTAAAAATCATTTAGTTATATTTGAGAAACTCTTTTTTCATTAATCTCAGTTTCAAGTTAATTAGTCCGTTCTTTTTCAAACTTTTAATGCAAATTCAAATTTTTTCACTATATCTAAATAAAATTCTCTGAGAAAAGTTTATTACTACAAATGCTAAAACTTTTGTTCTTGTTACGCATATAGTAGTATCATTCCAAATTTGTGTAGCTGTTAAATGTATGGTTATGTTGAGTTCGTATTCGTGGAATAAAAATCGAGACATAACTTCTCATTCTTTTTAATCCTAGGGAAAATTTTACAACTAAACTATTTGACAAATGGTACAGTCAATAATATGTTGTTAATAGCAACATTTCACAAATGTATGGTTGATTTTGACACTTCACTTGTTTTATTTTATAACCAACCAACCCAACTCTGAGTTTACGAGTATTAATAATCAGCTCCGTACCCGTGTAATTTTGAACTCGACCCAGAAGACGAGGGAACTTCCAGATCAAGCATTGGGAAAAACTAGCCTTTGTGGAGGATTGTTGATGGAATTAACACACATTTGTGTTACATTGATTGAAAAATCACGATAACCTCCTACGGTTAGATCGACATGAATGAGATTCTTTGTCTAAACCAGGGGTTGACAAACTTTTCGATTATCGACCCCTAAATAATTTTACGAAATCTCCATCGACTCCCATAAAAGTAATTTTCTGTTAATTAAGATAAAACTCTATTAGATACTGTGCTTGTACAATTATTTTATGATTTTGAACATTTATTAAAGTAATAGTACATAGTACAACAATAGTTTTATGAAGAATATTTTAATGTTGAAATATAAATACCTTAATATTTATGAAATAATAAGTAATTATAAGTAGAAATAATAAGTAAAGTAACTACGGATTTATTGCTTTTTAATCAATGACATGGGTGTGCCTGGTATTTTTTAAATTTTTTTTTGCAAGGTTCGTTATATTGGGTTCAAAATTGGTCAATTTTAATTTTAAATCCCCTCGAAACTCCATATTTAATTCATTTCTGTTCTTAGTTAAGATTGAATTTACGTGACTGAATCCGGCTTCAATTATATAGGAACTTTGAAATGCTATCATAAATGGCTGAGCTATTTCGTAAAGTCTTACATATTTTTGCATTATACTTATATTTTTCCAAAATTTGCCTATTTCTAAATTTTTAAAAAGCGTCTTTGCTTCAAATACCCATAATAATTCAGCAAGCTCATCTTGCAGGTTGATGTCCACGTTCTCAATTTGATCAGAAAATGGCACAATAATCCAATCAGGGATGTCAATGTTTTCCAAATCAACAAAACACAGTTTGAAATCGTCGCTCAATTTTTGAAGATTAACTGTATATATTTCCAAGTCTTTTATTTTTAATTGTCACATATCTGAAAAACACTGATAATCCTTCGACCAATCGATCCTTCCGGTTCGGATCGACCCTCATTCTACCCCGTGGCTCAGATCGACCCCCGCTTATGTTCAATAGACCCCTGGGGGTCTATATACACCACTTTGGCGGCCTCTGGTCAAAACCATCCAACCGAAAGCAATCAAATTTGGTATATAGACAGTTCAAAGCTCAAGGAAAGTCACTGTCGATATTAGAGCATTTTACGACAAACCGTTCAAGCACGATGAGCAAAAAGCGAAATGGAATTTTCTGATTGGTTAAACGTTATGGCAATATCACACGAGAGAAAAATAAGAGCAACCGTAAGCGGAACCAACACTCTATCTGTAACTCTAAAGGCAATTTCTCAGTTTGAAGTTGCCGACAGGGTTGCTTAATTGCCCGAACGGTTGCTCGTAATTAGGTGACTATTTTTGGATATTTATCTTAACTTTTGGCTAATATTTTATTTTTTTGCGGGATGCTATTATCTCATAGATTCTTAACGATGTTTGTAAAGGGAGGAAAAAGAAATCACAGACACTGTGGAATATTGATTGATTTTCATTCAATTTTGTACATTTTAAACATTTAACATTGTAACATTAAACATTATAATTTATATGGTTGCAAATAAAAATTCTGAATATTTCATTTCCACATTAGTGGAGCAATATAGCATAAAAAGAATTATGATTTCTAGCTCATAATATAAAAATGATATTAAGATATCAATGAATTTCATGTTACGTCTCTAAAAATTATAAGGGGATAAAATGGGGAGGGACTTAATTTCTATCTGGGAATATATATGAAATCCGGTAGCTAATTTTCGGAAAAAAAAACGAGAGCACAATTAAGCTTCTTGTTTCGGATTTACCTTATTCATATTTAGGATTATAAGCATTTTTGGATATTTTAACAGTATTGTCAATTATTTTGGGAGGTAACCCTTTATCGTGAGGGAAGGTTTTAATTTGGTTAATTTTACCCTTTATATACTAGAAGAGAAGTTGTGAAGTCTAGGTTGTTAAATGCTACA